TAAAAGTCTTTTTGTTCTCGGGACTGGGAAAAACAGGACTGATAAGAAGAGAGGGGACTTGTAATAAAGTGATCTCCCCCCCTTTTTTGCTGTGATGTGTTTTTTGTTATTGCTACTTATGTTTTGATCTTTTTGTTGTTTTTGTTCTATTCATTTATTTCACAGAGGGAAGGAAAGCACACAGTTGGCCAATTTTGCCATCTTGAGCTGAAAGCCCACAATAACAAAGACTCTGATGGAGATTTAAAGGACTATATCTAAAGGAAGAGAGTAATTCTGGCGTGAATTATTACTTCCCTGGCACCACCCCATTCCCAGCCCAACCTAGGCCCCCGGAAATTAACCTGGATGCTGGAGGACTTTGCAAGTTAGAAGCTGAGACAGGGAGAGTTAGGGTGATCTGTCACCTCGATTTGTCCAGAATCAAGGAGTCTCCCCTTTCAGTTCTGGGCAAACTGGGGTGACTTGATCACCTAAAAAGGGTGGAATGCAGACAGTGGGCAGAAATGCCAGAGCTCCAATATCAATTATTTCTCTAAATTCTCTCAAAATGTGTCCAGGGCTGGGAAGCAGACATTTATAAGGAAAAGTGTGGGTGAGATCTCTGTGTGTACAACCCAGACAGAGGAAGGTTTTGATTTGTGTAAGGGTTTCTATCAGCAACCATTCACCAGTTGAACCAGAGCCCCAAAGACTTACCAGGGACGTGCCTGGGGTACACTCCTGCAGATGCTGCCATCCACAGGCAGGGGTGGAGAGGGAGAATGGAAGACCTGGATCAGGGCAGTACCAGGCTGGCAAGTGGAAATTAAACAACAGTTGGTGATCATCACAGTGGGCGAAATGGCAAGCAAGGAAAGGAGGAGAATTAAGCTGACCTCTCATGCAAGGACACTATTTCATCCACAAAACCAGGAAGAGCAGCGTGTCTCCTGTCCTGAGGGCATATTCATGACATTTGCCATTGTGTAGCTACTGTTGACTTTTCCTGTAGAATCCGTCTAAAAGGACATCTGGAAAGGTAAGAGGGCGTGTTGGAAACCCTGCCAACCAGCCTGAAGGGACTCCCAACCACCTCTTCCTCCTGATTCTTCCAGAAACCCCGCCGGGCACTACCGACTCACGCATCCTCTTGTTCTTAGTGGAGCTTCTGTGTTGGCGCTTAGTCCCGAATTCTACATGCAGAGGGTGGCCACTAAGATTAATCTGTCATTTGCAATTGTGAGAGGCAATATGGTATCATGAGGAGAGGCTGGCTTTTGTAATTAGAGAGGCCTAGATGTTTAATCTGGCCACTTACTACCTGCATTATTTTGGATACATTCATAAATTTCCATGATCCTTAGTTCTCTCATTGGTAACATTAGTTTAATAATCCGTATCTCATAGGGATTTTGTGAGATATGGACGTAAACGTATGAAAATGCCAAGCACAGTGTAAGTGAGGAAGGAAAGACCTTCTCTTCCCCCATAAAGTGGCCCACTCCAACTCTCCATCAGTGCGTGTGACTGTGAGTGTGTGACTGTACACCTGTGTGTGTGTGTGTGTGTGTGTGTGTGTGTGTGTGTGTGTGTGTGCATGCGCGCGAGCACAGGGCTCTTCAGATGACCTTCTGGCCTACAGCCTAAGCTGAGAACAGAAATTCTCCCTTTTATTTGCATCCTTCTCCAATAGCTACATTGAAAGCCCGAGAGGCTCTACTTCTCCATCTCCCCCATAGAGTCCCGTGCTCAAGTTCACACGTGTGGTTTCCATCCCATTGTGAAAAGGAAGACAGAGCATGTTTCTTTCCAATCCTGGGGGGACATGAGGCTATCTCTACTCTGAGACATCCTGCTCCAGTGCCTTTCTTTGTGGGGTCTGGATAACTGAGTCAGAAAATGACCCTCTCTCCCAGGTCCAGATGCTCGGATCCCTTGATGAAAATGAACCCAAGACTCTCCTTCCTACAGCCCCTTCCAGCTCAGGCTCTCCTTCCTCACTCTGTTCCATACACAGTGAACTCATCAGGAACATGAACATCCCCAGGAAAAGGCCTCCACAGGACAGGGCCAGCACACTTCTGGAGGGACTGGAAGTTTGAAGAAATCTTCTATGAAAGAGAAGAAATTCTCAGGCTTCTAAAAACACAGGGGATCTAGAACTGAAGAACCTTATTTCTCCACAAAAGTGGCATGTCATCATCTCAGCAATGGGCCAAAGACACCCCTCACCCTAGTCTTAGCTGTCTCGGGCTGGGGAGTGGGAAGGTTGTTGGCCACGAGAGTGTATTTGAAGAAAGAGTGACACCCGGGATCTGAGCTTCAGGGTACACTAAGTTCTGAGCAAACACCACCCCCACTAACAGATGCAAAATCTGCCGTGTTACATCGAACTTTTAAGATTCACCTATTCTTTCCCCAAAACTAAAAAAATTACTTCCAAGCTTTTAAGAAATTTAAAATCTGAAAGAAGTTTACTCACTCATTTATTCTTTCAACAATTCATTGATGGCCTACTCTTTGACAGCCACTGTTCTATGCCTTCTGGATAAAGCAAGAAATGAGAGATAGAAATTCCCTGCCCTCTAGGACTTACATCCTATTGGAGGGACAGACAAACTATAAAGAAACATATAATAAAATACTGGGTAATTGTAAATCCTATGGAGAAAAATAAAGCAAGGGAGAGGGATGAAGAGAGTCTAGAAGTGATCAACAAAGCAAGGTGGTCATAGAGAAGCTCGCTGAAAACATTTGAGCAGAGTGAGCCAGACATGCATCAGCCCATGACAGGAAAAAACAGCAAGCAGGAAAAAAACAGCAAGTACAAAGGCCCCAAGGCAGGATTTTGCTTTAGAGTGTAGCAAGAAGAGCAAGAAGGCCAAGGTGAACAAGACGGAATTAGAGAAAACAATAAGGAGTTGAAATCAGGTACTTCCATAGTGCCTAGATCTTCTAGGGCTTCCTAGGCCATGAGTAGGTCGAGGCATTGAAATTTATTCTATGTATAATGAAAAACTCTCAGGAAGAGATTATTTTTATAATGGGGTATAAAATCTGATTTTTTTAAAGGATCACGTTTTCTGGCTCTCATACATAAAATACAGTGTATGAGGGTGAAAACGTCAGCAGGGAGAACAGGTAGGAAGTGCTGCCCAGGGGAGTGATGCCTGCGGTTTGACCAAGGGGGTGGCATTGGAGGTAGGAGATGAGACCTCAGGATTTGCTGGTGGACTGGTCATGAGACGTGAAAGAAGAGGTATCAGTGGTGACTCCGAAGTTTTGACCTGGGGAGCTGGGTACCTGAAGAAACCATTTGTGGCAATGTGTGGAGTACTGGAGAAGCAGCGGTTTAGGACGTGGGAATCAAGAGATCTAAGCGGGGTGTGTTAGTGTGTGATGTCCTGTGACACCCAGGGAAGCTGCTGAGTGGGCGGTTGGATGACGGAGTCTGGATTGCATGGGAAAGCTCCAGGCCGAGGACGAAAGCGGGCCACCATTTCCACATGGAGGCCAGGGTGACGGACAATTCTCGTTAAGTAAGAGTCATTCAACATTCGGAAGCTGAGAAGAGCAGAGGAGACTCAAACGAAAGAGACAGGATTGTTAAATCATGTAAATAGAAAAAGTCATTCAAAGTTCTGTTCTCTTCCAAAAAAAAAAAAAAGAAAAAGTCAGAACGATATAGTAGGATAGTACAAAAAGATGTTTGTTGTTTTTAATAACTCGGTGCTGTAAGAATGTGGGGGAAATGGCAACGTCATACGCTGCTAAAGAAGATGTAGTTTGGAACAAGCGCTTTGGAACTGGAACTTTTCACCCAATAATTTCACTTCCTGGAATAATGATTTACCTATTTTTTTCACTCATCCACTATTCAATGAGACTTCTATCTTCCATATCTCAATCACTGTTCTAGACACTAAAATTACAGAAGTAAAAAATATATATATATATATCTCTACCTTCCTGGTGCGAGTGAGGATCTTATTATAGTATTCTTTAAAAGAGTTAAAATTGAAAACAACTAAATGTTTAAATAAGGGATTTGTTAAATAAATCATTCATGTAGTCATATAATAAAATGCTATGTAGTCTGTGAAGTACATAGAAGAAATTTATTTACAGACACAAATATAACATATGGTAAAGTAAATAATTATATTCAAAATAGGATGCGTATTATAGATGTATTTATGAATCATACCTGTTTGTGTGTGTGTGAGTGTGTGCATCAGGATAATTTACTGACATACTGATCTCTGGATCTTGTTGCTGCTGTAGGAATAAGCTGGAGATATCATGCCTTTCCATCCTCATATGCCTTTCCGTCTGAGTCTGAGTCCCATAACTGAAGTTGTCGCTCAGATACTTAGCAGTGCCGAGCATGGGAGTGGGTGTATAGGCCCAAAGAAAGAGGCTGGCGTACGGGTGGGGAGAGGATTACTAAATTCAGTTGGAGTAGATAGAGCATTCACTATAAAGGAAAAGGCTGCTAAATGTAAACATTAAAATTAAGAGCTTCTGTTCATCAAAAGATATGCAAAGCAAGATAAGGTAGAAGGTGCAATCTGCAAAAAAGCTCATAGCTGAAATATTGATATATACAGAAATCCTACCATCGATAATAAAAGACAAGCAACCCAATTGAAAAATGGGCAAGAGCCTTGAACAGGCACCTCACAAAAGGGAATATACGATATCCCCAAAACATATGAAAAGGCTAAAGACCATTAGTGATCACAAAAATTAAGAGTAAAATCACAATAAGCTCCAATACATACCCACCAGAAAAGCCAAAATTAAAAGAACTAACAATATCAAATATTGGCAAAGATGTGCAGCATGTAAATGGTCACCACAACTTTTGGAAATATTTTGGTATTCTTGTGAAATAAAATTTAAAAGCCATTGGAATCACCAAAACACTTTAAGCTATTAACAAAAGACCATGACATCTGTGGAGGAAAAGGGGAAATCTTTATTTTCCGTAAAAAAACAATCTGTAGATGGTGGAGTCCCAGCCTCCAGTGTGAACCAAAAACGCACTTAGAGATAATAAAGGTGAAAACTGCAGGGCGGGGGCAGAGCCAGGGGACTGAGGAGCAGGGTCTTGACTTCTGAGCCCCAAGTCACCAGCCTGTCTTAGTTGGCTAGTTCCAGATGGCCGGCTGGTGGTCAGGAGGGGAATTCCCAGCGACACTCTGTCACCCCACCAAAAACAGGATCTGGTTCGGCTTGATTGTAGACAGGAAGGTCCTGGGACACTCTCACGACATCTTTCCGAGAACACAGAGTACGGGACCGCTCCCTCACCCAGCCACGCTGTCTCCTTCTATTTGGCTTTGAGCACCTCGGTCGGCCAGTCTAATTTGTCTGCTGGCCGGGGGTTAACTTTACTAAAGTCAGTCTTGAGAGAGATGTGACTGCAGTCTGAGTCACTAGCATGTTTGCAGTTCTGCTTCTCATATTATAGCTTAACTTTCTTCCTCATTGTTCTTGTTCTGTACATGACGAGGAGAGATGAGAGACCAGGCCACCTGCTTCAAGGCACTGGCCTCTGTTACACATTAACTGCCTCCTCTATTGTCCTGTGCCTGCCGCAGACCAGATGGTGCCCGGAACAGGGACCTCATGGCAGGGACATCATCAGTGTGGAATATTAAATATGCCTCTCCTGAAAGAAAAAGACCACCTCAACTAATCAGATCACTGGTAACTATACACTAAGCCTTACACAGAAAGATGTTGAAATTCTGTTCAACTTCCATAAACTTTGTCTATATAAATGATCCCAAACTTCTCCACTTCGGAACGCTGACTTCCATTCTTTGACATCTGTGCTTCCTGGGCAGGCCCATCCTCAACCTTTGTGCTTGAATAAACACTTGAAACTGGACCCCTATCTTCTTGATTATTTTAAGTTGACATTCTCTACTAAAAATGAAGAGACACATACCACACGTGTATGGTAACAAGCAACTTCACCAGATCTGCTTCCTTTTCCTCTTGGGCAGGGAGGACTAGTCTGCATTTCCCAATCTCACTTGCAGTTTGCTTTGACCATATGGCTACACTGTGCTCATGGGGACATACACAATGAATGACAGAAGCCACTCCCGAATCTTACCCATTAAAAAAAAAATCCTTCATAATTCTCCATTCTTTCTTTCACCCTTTAACAGCTGAATACTAATGCCTGAAGGAAAGCAAAATATTCTGCCCTAAAATATGCTTCTTTGACATATTATGAGATGGCTGATCAGAGGTCCTACCAACAGAAGTATCTCTGCAAACTGTCTTTGGAGGGGAGACTTGCCTCTATGGAGAATCTGCATTGAGGCAGCCAAGCTTTTTCTGAGATCCTCCCTTATCTGAATCTTTATCTGGATCTAGGAAAGATTAAGTGCCAGTCTGATACCTTTAAAGGTCTGTAAGAAATATTTACCATCTATTCTCTCTGAGGGCTGCTATCTGTGAGGGTTTTCTACATAACAAGACCACCTTTGTCAGCTAGACCTCCTCTTCTCTCCCTCCCATAACCTGTCTTGCCACCACTACCTGATCTACCACCATAACCTGGTTTTGGCAGTGCTCCGAGCCCGTATTCCTCCTGTAACCTCAAGATGGCATATAAGCTTCTGTACTCCATTGGGGTGTTGGTGGTAATCACTCTGTAGTTCTCCCCTGTGTTTGTTAATAAATTTATGTGCATTTCTCCTATAAATCTGTCTTTTGAAAGTTGTTTTTCAGCAAACCTTTCGAAGGTAAAGGGGAAGTTTTATCTTGGCCCCTACATGCCCAAGGTGACCTTCGAAATGACACTAAACATGACAGAGTTTCTAAGAATAGAGTCACACTCCAGCACCTCTGAGAGATTTTGCTTGGATGCAATCCCCTCTAGTAAACAAATAGTACATCCTGAGCATACGCTAAATGTCCTTGTACAAGTGCTATAGCACCCATGCTTTTATTAAGCAAGAGGAAACAGAGTGGTGATTCCAAGGGTTGGATTCACTTCTACCTGGGTTCTAATGGCTTGGCCTAGTCATATGGCCAAACCAAACTGCAAAACCTTTGTCCTTTGTTGGTTATATGACATGAACAAGTTATGAAAACCTTAGTTAAGTTTCCTTTTCTCAACTTTAAGATGACATTACATCAAGAAACAGAAAGGCAAGTGTTTAAGGACATAGACTCTGGTATCGGACTACTTGATTATAAACTCTCAGCTCTTCCTATTACTAACTTTGCAATCTGTTCTCACCGGTACACAATGTAGTGGTTAAAATCTCAGATTCCAGAGTCAGATCCACTGTGTTGCAATTCTGGCTTTAACTAAGGTGTATCCATTAAGCGAATGACATGAAGCATTGGGGCTCCTCATGCACAGGTGCCTCTTCCAAGGTCCTGTATCTGTAGTTTACATCTGTAAGTCTGTATGCTATTTCTGAAAGAGGCTCTTCAATATTATAAACCAAAACTTTCAGATTCCACAAAACCTGGACCCAAAGTGGACCCCACCAGTTACTACTCTATGACCTGGGCTAGATATTTTATCTCTTCTATGCCTCTGTTTCCCCATTTGTAAAATGGCATCCCACTTCATAAGGTTGTTTATGAAGATTGAGTTAATACATGTAAAGTGTTCAGAATGACGTTATCCGCATGGTATATGTTCCATGTGCGTTGGCTGCTATAACTCCCTTTTTTGTTTATTCTTTATATTTCTCTTTCATGGGCCTTGTGAAGTCTAGGATCACCTTTCTCTCTGCAAATTTAGCCTGTGGCAAGCTTCTCATTAATCCCCAATCCCTTCCCTTTGTGGCTTTGCAGTCTCTTCTATAAGCCTCCTAAATTGTTTACAATCTGATTTTATCAACCTCTATTTGGCTTCTCAAACCTACTAGACTCGTTCATTATTTACTGCATGACAATTTTGTTTTCCCATTAATTTCTCCTTCCTCAAGGGACCTCAGAGTTTTCTCTTAAAATTTTCGATTGATTCAATGAGGCTAACCCATATTAGGGAGATAATCTGCTTTACTCACAGTTTACTGATTTCAGATGTAAATGTGAATCACATTAAAAAAAAAAAAAGTCATAGCAACATCTAGACTATTGTTTTACAAAAACCTGGGCACCATGCCTTGCTAAGCACACATAAAATTAACAATCACACCAGCATGGCCTTCACAGTACTTAGATTTATTTGTCAGGTACATTGAAGGGTTCTGAGTAGCACAGTGTCCTGATGACTTACAGAAGATCAGCCTCTTTACCTACAATAGATTCTCTTAACCCATTGTCATCAGCCCCTATCTGAGCATTGTCTTGCCAAAAGTGCTAAAGCTAAATCTTCAAGGGCAGGGCTGTGCCTTCAAAAGTAGCTAAATCTCAGTAAAGAGCTCTTCCTAGATTTTCCCACATGGACACTTCCTAAATTCTTTGGCCCTATGCCTTGGTCAGTCTAGCTAGCATGTCCCTCTGAGGGAAATCATTCAAGTGAGTGCATAAGAGAAGGACCAGTTATAAAGAAAATTTAAATGTGGGAGAGTGCTTATGAAGGAGGATCATTATATCACCTGGGCAAGGTAAAGCAAAAGCATTATTTTTGAGTCCATGGGACCAAAACAGAGCATGTGGCCCCAATAATAGCTGAAGTTTTAAGTGAGGAATGATATGAACAATTTCCAATCCAAAGGAACAAGGAGGCAGATGCAGGAATGGAGGAGCATGTAGAACAATTTTGAAAGATACATCCAGAAACTAGAAGTACACACCTAGACTTTAATTCTAAATCTATACTGAGCAGATCTAAATCTACACTGAGCAGCACTCTAGCAATATACATAGGTAACTCCTACAACTCTAATATTCACTCTCTTGCCAGAGAGGATCTTCCCAGGCTGCAATTTGTCATGCAAAGGTTAGAAACAAATCCCACAGTGTCATAAGTTGTAGGGAAGGAATAGATTTAATTTAGTAAAGAGAAACACACAATGCCAATGTCAGCAAGAGCAAGTCTCCCCATCATCCCAGAAAAAGGAATTCCAGGGCCAGGACATCTCTTGGACACAACTGTGGTTCTGTGCTAGTGGAAGGGGTCTTTCTTCCCATGGGTCTTCCCATGGGTCTTATGCTATAAGACAAGAGTGAGTGCAACAGAGGGAATGGCCTGGAAAAAAAATGATAAAAATATTTTCTGTCTCTTTAAAGCTTCCCCCACTCTTTTTGGAAACTTTGGCCTGGCCTGCATCCCTGAGACAGGTTAAGTCTTTTGTTACAAGAGATAACTCAGCCATCAGCAGGCCAAGGCCAGCTCCTAAGGTGGGCCCAGGTGAGGCTCTGTCTGTGGCAGGTATGACATGAATAGAATATTTAACTACAATAGCCTAGAACTGAGGGAACTCCCTTTAAAAGCTCTGTATTTCTACTTATGTTCAAGAAATGTAGATTTTGAGACAAGAAGGTCTACCATTTTTCCTTCTTTGCCAGCAAAGTAATAAACTTCTCTTTCCTTCTCCTCAAACCACTTGTTCTTGTTCTTCTGATGTGGCCTTGAGGAGAAGTGGCGAGATTTCAGTAACACGAGAAAGTGGCTGCGTCAATAAGAAAATGACCAGGCTCTTTGGTGCCAAGAAGTCTGATTTGGGGGTATCAGCTATTTAAGGAATTGTCTAGAATTAAAATAGAGGACTGTGGGGACCCTGGATCCCTTGGCCGTCTGCAGTATAGTACTGCTACCCCTGTAGTCAAAAGGTGTGGTCGACAATAACAAACATCTTCACATCATGAAGTCTCTGGGCTCACTTCCTCATCACTCAGAGCAGCCCATCTCTTCCCCAGTTCTCCCACCTCATGGCTAGTGGTGGCCGCTGGGAAGCCTCGATGATCCTAGTGCTCCAAAAATTTTTTTGCATGGCGTTGCCTCTTAAACTTACTATAAGGTGATCAGGCAAATGTGCTCTAGAGCTGTGGTCTGAAATGTGCCCCCACAGTGGGGTCCTCTACCTTCGGAAGTTAGGGGAGAAGTGGCTGAAGCTAAGACTACACACAGCAGGACAGACAGGCGTATACTAAGGGAAAAGAAAACCATCTCTGTGAGCTAGGGAAGGACTGGTGTGTCTTTTGAGGTACTGACCATTTGGAGAAACTCTGACACTGAAAAAATAAGGAAGGTCAATCTGACTCCTTTCCTAGTCTCTGACATTTTAGCTGAATGTTGATTTTTTTTTCCCCATAGGAAAACAAACGTTGGCTCAAGAAGGAAAGATCATGAGCGGGGAGGGTGATTTACCTCATGGATTTACCTGGCAGCTCTCGCACTTCCTGGATCTGCCTATAAGAAGTGTGCTGGGCACCTGGGACGCCACTTCTCTGGGACAGGTCACCTTCTGTTTCCTCCAGCATGCGCTCTCTCCAGCTCCTGTTCAGGGCCAGCACTGGCCTGCTCCTGGTTCTCTGCCTGCAGCTGGGGACCATCAAAACTCAGGAAGACACGTGAGCAATGCCCCTCTCCTCCCCACAGAAAAGCCTTGCAGGCAGTGCTCCTCTCCCAACCTGCAAATCTGCACATCCCTCTCGGAAGATTTGTTTCAACTTCCCAGCACTCCAGCCCGGGGAGCTCCCATAGACCTCCCGCCAGGTTCTCCTCCTCTCCCCTCTCTAGGCTGCCTGTGGAACTGAGGCTCCCCGTGTACATACGGACTGTAATTAACAATTAGTCTTCCTCCTGCACTCCGATCTGCATCCTGTTCATAATCTACACCTTGGTTCGGATTTCTGCTCAGTATACTTTACCCTCTCACACTTTGTCCCCTAGACAAGAAGGGTTAACAGGTCTGTGAGTTCCAACAGTAATTTTGGGCAGCTGTGGCAGGATTCGCTGAAAAATGAGAGACCCCGGTCACTGTCCTGTGGTCTGAGGTTGAGCTCGCCTAGCAGCTTCAACATTTGTCCTATCCTGAAGCCTGACAATGAATACTAGGACCTCTTGACCCCACCTGCCCTGGGACCTGGGAGCACAGGTTCAGGAGCCAACTTATTGAGGGTACACATTTGAAGGAAGCAGGGAAATTGCGGCAAGTAAAATAGTGTTAAGGTGAAGGGGAAACTTCCCCTTTACCCTTGGAAGAGTCCATGAAAAATCAACTCATAGTAAAAGAGATAAATAAGAGAAAAGCTATAAGAATTTATCTTAACATGTATATAGGGGACCCCTCGGAAAATGAAGATTCAACTCTTCAGTGAGGTTTTTAAAGAATGGGGGACTTAGAAGCAGAACAACAGTTTTGGGGAGGGAGAGAGGAAGAGGTTTGAGTAGTTAGAAAGGTGATTTTATTATTTAAATGATGAACATGTAGCAGCCCTCAGAGAGAATAGACTACAAATGTTTCTTTTCAGACCTCAAAAGGTGTCAGACTCTCAGTTAATATCTTTTCTTATCCAGGGGAGCAGAGACCTAGCTATATTCTGTACAGATGTAAATTTACACCGCCACCCCCCAACACACACACACACACACACACACACACACACACACGCACACGCAAAAGACACCTTTGCAGTGTTACTTTTATCAGTGAGACGTCTGAGGCCATCTTAAAATATGATGAAGAAACATATTTGGGGATAAAACATTTCTAATTTCCTTCAGTAGAAAATGGGGCCAGAGTCTGAGGAGAAGCAGGGATGCCCAAAATAACCTAGGGAGTTTTCTCCATAGCAGCAGCATTTGGAGTGCTGGGTTTCTGGGTTGTGATCCTGGAGGTGCTGTCTGTGGCATGGCTAGATGTCTTGTCCTAGAAGAAACTGTCCAGGGTATTGACAAGCTGGTGTCATGGAGACAAGTGTCCTGAGAAACCCTGCATGGAGACAGGTTCAGAGCCAGGTGACACTCCACTTATCCCCAAGGAAAGCAAGTTGTTGAAATAAGCTCTGCTAATCAGATGGTCCAACCATCCCCGTTTGCCCAGGACTTCCCTGGTTTTAACGCTGAAAGCCCCTCATTCCAGGAAATTCTTCAGTCCTATCAGCTGGTCATCCTACCAATCCTAAGCTCATTCACCAATGGGAGAGATTTTGAAGATGCTTAGGTCTTCACACCCCTTTTCTGTGCAGAGAGCACTAGAGCAATTGCTGAGATGTTTGGCCCTAGGAAACGGGGCTGAGAGCATTGTGGGCTACCACATTCCCTCTGTCCCACCCAACCCCAAAGCGATGTAGCCAAGAGTTCCTAGGAAAGAGAAAGTAACTCTCCTGGCCTCAACCAGGTCCTCACTGATGGAAGAGGAATATTGATCCATTCTCTCTGCCTCCATTTCCTTTTTCTATCAGACTGTGGTGTGTGGCCTGAACGTGGAGTGGTAGCTTAAGTTCCTGAACAGAGCTGTGTGTCCAAATCCCCTATGGAGCTAAGTAGACACAAATTCCTAGACCCTATCCAGGAACAAAAGGAGGAACACCTTCAAAGATGGTCCTACAAACTCCTTTAGGGCACTGAGATGTTTACTGAGTTAATGTGATTCTGTTGATAGGAAATTTTCTTCTAATGATGACTTGAGTGGCCCACTCAGCAGACAATCAGCTGAACCAGAAGGATGTTATTAGGAAATGACACGTGATGTCATACTTCTTTTCTTTTTCTTAAATTTGTTTTTTTGTCACTGGAAGGACAGAAAATGCTCAGTTTTCAAGGAAGTGTCCTAAAACTAAATCTGTATAAGGCAACCAAACCAACCAACGCACACAACTTATAGGGATTCTGACACTGAGCAGTTGATCTGACCCACATCGTCTCCCTCCCTCACTCCATCCTCAAGCCCCCTGCTCTGCTTGTGGCAGCCCCTCTCTCATGCATTGGTCTCTCATCTGTGTCCTGTTTCTCTCTTCCCAGAACCAGGAGGGCAGTCATAATGAATGTAGACATGCCCAGTAGAACACGGGTAAATCAGGAAGTCTCCGTGAAGCTTAACATTGAAACAGAATTGACAGAATGTTTGGTGGTAAGTAGAGGCTTGGGGGCATGATTTAAAAAAAAAAAATCCAGCTCTTTGATGATGAATACAATTTAATTAATCTCTCTCTTTAATATTGCACATTAGACTTAAAACAGTCTCCTATATGTTATGCTACTTGCGCCGCAGAACAACTGTGGGGCAGATGACTTTGCATTTTACAGATGAAGAAACCCTGATCCAGAGAGGTCTAGAAAGGAAGAGAAAGAGAGAATGAAGAGATGAGAAATAAGAAGGATGGAGAATAGAAAAAATTCCTCCAACATCCTGAGCATGATGGGTTTGGGATGAAAGTGGGAAAGGGGTTCTCAGAAGAAAAAAAAAATGCAACCCCATTCAGTAGGTTGAGGCAGGTGGGAAGAAGAGGATGGGCAGGATATATGATTCTTCTTCTCCAATAAGCCCTGAGGGATTGTGCTTTCTGCCCGTCTTCTACTCTTTTGCTCTGGGTCACCAGCAGATGACTTTTATTCCAGCCCCCTCTCCCTGACAAGGAGCTCACATGCATCTCTCCTTTTCCCTCAGTTCAGCTCAGTCTTGGAGGGAACTCCAATCTCTGAACTAGATCAGAGATTCTCAAAGGGTAATGTGCATAAAACTTCCCTGGGGATATTGTTGAAGTGCAGATTCTGATTCAGCAGGTCTGGCCAGAGGCCAGAGCGTCTAGATTTCTAACAAACTCCCAGAGAACACTGAAGCTGCGCCCAAAAAGACCATACTTTGAGCAGCTTGGCATTAGAGCATTATTCCCCTTGTCTCCTGCGTGGGGCCACAAGGAAAAGAGACCAATGCAGGTATTAAACCCCAGAGACTCTTCCCTGGCCAATGTGTCTCCTCCTGGCCAGTGGTCTTCTCAGGCATCACAAACATGCAACCTAACTACCTTTGTTCTAGGGCCACAACCTATGTGTCCCCTGTTCTCCCAGCCTCCTGCCCCAGACCCTTCTTGAAGGATACCCTCTGTTGAGTATCTCCCCACAGCATGAGTTTCTTAATTCAAATGAGATTTAGGGACAATGATTAAATGGAAAGCATATTTGGGAGCATAAAAGTTGCAATTCATTAAAATACATTCTAGAAATATCCCATATCTGTAAGAGAAAGATTCCTGGTCACAGAGTAAAGATTATCACAGCTGCTTTGTCAAATTTTTCTGTTTGCAGTTCAAGAATCTGAGCCATCTGCACTAATTTGGTGTGGGAGGGAGGCTGGATCATAATTTTTCAGTTCTGTGTTTTGTTTATCATACCTGCAGTTGAGAATGAGAATGAGAATGTATAAATAATGTGTACATAAAATGTTGAGAATAGTGGTAGTTTCTGGTGGTGATAGGTAATGAAAGTACATTTTCACCTCTGAAAATGTGATAGGTATAATAAAATGAGTTTGAATCTACAAAATGACATGTGATAAAATTTCGTGCTATTGTGATTAATGAAAGTAGGCTTTTAAGAATCATGCTAGTACAATAAAATAAAGTGATCTTTTCAAAACCTACCCAAGTACAAGTAGGTCCACTACCCGAGTACAAGTCTAAAGAACTCCTTAGACTAAGTAACTTTGCAAACTAGAAAGAATTTATAGGAAAGGAAAATTTGTTAACTCTAGTCAGCCAATTTTTATTTATAGTTATCAATTATAAAATATAGCTATAAAAATATCTTTTATATATTTAAAGTTTTAGTAAAATATAATTTGTTTATTTATATAAGTATAAAATTTCTACCACCTATCCTCATTGTCTATTAGTAATAATGTTTTTGTGACTAAATTTTTGATAAAATGGAGTCTTAGGCTCATATTTATTTATTTTAAAATTAGAATACATTATACCTACCACATGTATTTGAATGTAAAGATTATATCGTCCTTTAAGGCTGAAGAAAATTTGTGGTAAACCACAATGCTTACCATTTGTGTTCTATGGATGATTTTACTGGTTTCATGAAGTCTATGGAATGCTTATCAGAAAATTGTTTCTGAATGCATAAAGTGCATTGGATTACATAGGAAAACTACCACATTGAATAACAACGACACAATTATTAAAAAACAAACTTGTGATATAGTAATATGTTTCTTTATCAATGCATTAGCCGGAAAGGCAATACATTGAAAATATAGACAAGTTAAACTTTATTTTATGAAGGCATCATTGATCTGTGTGATGGCTGTTGTTGCTTAGCTTGAAGAAGTACATTAAACTGTATGCTGGTCTCTGATTTTTTGTTCTGATTATACAAATGGTGAAAATTGTGATTCATGAAGATATATAGCTGTGAATGTAATAAAAAGCTAAACGAAGTAAGGGTAGGCTTCTCTAAAGAAATACCAGAATTTTCCAAAGCATTCTGAGTAAAACTCCAATGGTGAGAATGCTTGAATTTACTGTTAGGGCCGAAGGGCTATTCCGTGCAGAGTTGCCACGTATCTGAGCTAGCTGCAGGAGACGGGCAGATGGCCAGACAGCCAGATGGCCTCAGCCGTGAACACGCAGCCTCTCTGATAACAGCCATATGTCCCAGGTAGTGACGAGTGCAGGCAGTATGTCAAGATATCTAAATCTGTAAAGTGGTAGGAACATATCTATGTTTCTTCTTGTGATAAAATCACAGATACTGCTAATGCTACTGTGGCTTCTTGATGACATTCATAACTGAAAGAATGCTAAATTTCAATTAGAGGTTTGTAAAATAAAAATGCATTTTTTTTCCCACCTGAGTTCACAGACTCGCCGAATTCTATCCACAGATCCCTCTGGGTCCATGGACCCCAGGATAAAACCCCTGTGTCAACATTAACTAGACAAAATCTTCCTGACTCCACTGACATTTTTATATTCAATAATCTGGGGTCTTAAATTGCAAAAAAAAAAAAAAAGAAAGAAAGAAAGAAAGAAATTTACATTCAAGATTGTGTGTACTTACCTAACAGCCAGGCTTTGCAGATCATTGTTTCCACCTCACAACTGAGGACAGTGGGAGTGAGAGGTGTAACTTTAATCAGAAAAGGTCACAAAGCTAGGGAGGAGCATGGCTGGGGCTTGGTCACAGTTCTGACAAAGCCTGGCCTTTGCTCCTACCCCCAAGTGGCCAGGCTGCCGTCTCACCAGCTCACAGAGTAAAAGCTAATGCAGGTCAATGCCGAAAGCTCTGGCTGGTGGCTAAGGCCAGCCTGCTTCCCAGATGGATAGCCACCGCGGGACAAGCCCTCTTGCCCTGTGGATTCCCTTGCATCTCCCTTTCCCCCCTGGGCCTTACACCCACACTGCTTATGCGGGAGCTTGAGGGTGTGACCCAGACTTAGCTGCTGAAATGATACTACAGAAACAGACACCTCCAGGCCCCCAACCACCCCTGCCCCCGTTCTGTGCCCTCCATCTTCTTCCTCTCTTCCCTTTCCCTTCCCTTCACAGTCCCCAGACTGACGCCTGTCCTTGCCCTTCTCCCACCTTTTCCTCATCAGTGTAAAGCTTATCTCAGAAGCAACGTCACCATGGATGGTCCGTTTAACTATCGATTCACTGTCTGCGTGTGTAAAGATGCTCCAAGAACACTTTACTGGGACTTTCAGGTTGACAGTAAGTACAAGAGTTAGTTGTCCTAGGGAAGCACTGTCCACCAGGGGAGGAAAAGCTACAAACAGAAATGTGGCTCTGGAACTGGAACCAGAGCAGAACCCTGGGGGGGGGGCTGGAAGGGGAGGGAAGGAGAGTGGGAGGGAAGATGCAACTGCACCCAGGTTCTGAGAGGGAGGCACTGTATGTGAAAAGCTAATATGGGAGACAGATTTGCAAAGGAATTGGGGAAACCAAACCCCTGTGGGCAGGTTCCTGATACTAGTCAAGAAGACAGGACACAGCTGGAATGTCTGAGAGATGATCTTTGTCCGCATCTTTTTCAGAAACTATGGGAATTGCAGTAGTGGTTGATACCGTTCGGGAACTAGGTATCTGCCCTGATGATATGGCCGTTATCCCCATCAAAGCGAACCGCTATTATTACACTACTTCTCTAGTCGTACAATAATGGAAGTCTTCGTCTGTTCACCACACCCAGGTGGTCTCCTCTAAGGATATTTGGCTGGAATATCTCTTGTGGTCCATCAAATAAACTTCTTACAAGTGTCTCTGTGTTCTGTCATGTTTTCTCTACAAAAGCAGAGCGCCCCAAATTTCTAGAGTGCCCCAAATTTCTAAAATATGTGGCCTTTAAAGAATCTTTACTGAGGAGATTATTTGGGTTTCACTGCCCATAGGTATGAGAAGAAGAAGAAATAGGGAAGAAAAGAGCCATTCTCTCAAAGAGGAAAAGCAGTGGCCCTAAAATTCATGGCAAAGGGGCAGCAGAGCCAGGACGGGCACCCACACCTCCCTGCCACTTGGCTCTTCTGCACCCCACTGCCCTCCAGGACTTGCTCAGGTCCCAGGGGATGGGAGTCACCCCACAAGCAGCAGAATCAGGGACTAACTAGCCTCATTTCCGGAACTCAATGGCTGCATGTGCCCAGGGGCTGCCATATTAGATGGTGCAGATATTAAACATTCCCACTATCTCAGAAAAATGCTGTTAGACAGAACAGGCCTAGAGCCTTAGCAGAGACAGCTTGCTGCCAACCCTCATCATAAAGGAGTTCACAAACTCTACAACCACCATCACCACTACTATCCTAATACTATTGAAAAATTGATCTCTCTCTCTCACTCTCTCTCTCTCTCTCTCTCTCTCTCTCTCTCTCTCTCTCTCTCTCTGGGAGAACAGCTTTTCTGTTGAAGTTTGCTACTAACTGCCTCATTCCTTTCCATTCCTTCGGCAAACTGGCTCTTGATTTAATTAGCTCTCTCTGTGAATAGATATTTCTTAACACTTAGCTGAAACATCATTTTACCCCAGAAAAGTAATTTACAACCTGCTGAGGTACTTGTGGAAGTCTCTCAGAGGAAGTAACCAGAAATGTAAAGGTAGAGAGACTGACTGGGCAGACAGTTTTGGTGACAGCAAATGCCCAGCAGACATAAATATAAATCCAGAAACCTTCTGTAAAATCAAGCAAGCACATCTAAGCACTTTATCTGTGGTCCTCAGTATGCGTTCAATACCTGAGAACCTCATTTAGCCCTAGCTCTAAAGAATGCCAGCCCCTAGACAGGGCCAGCCCTTGAACCCCAGAGAAAGAAACATAGCATTTTGCCTTGAAACCATGATATCTAGGGTTTCCATGAAGTACTTATTGAAACAAGAGAATTAAATGCTAAAGGAATGAAAGTGGGGTTATAGTGAAAGGCAGCCACATCATGTTCCACCAGGCAGAAGTAAGGACAGAATGAGGTTGCAGCCAAGTCTCATGCTAACCCCATCTCCTGGGGTCAGAAGTCAGGAAAGAACCTAGAATATTTCCAGACTTTCTCATACAATTGCAGATATATGTGCATACGTATCAAAACAAATGTTGGAGAGGAGTCAGAACAGGCAGATTTTCTCCTCTTATGAGAAGGGGACATCATGTCCACCAAAATATCACAAACATATAAGTCCACTTTTCCCTTTCTGCACAAACATGGGAATGAAGCAATTGACTGTGCTGTATCCAGTTCAAGTTAAGCCTCGAGGGGCTCACTCATGATGAATTAGACCAAGTTACCATATATTCCTTACTCTCCAAATAAAATAATTTAAGCATGAAATGGCTCATAAAAGAAAAACAAACAAACAAAACCAAGGCAAAAACAAAAAGGTGCAGGACCAGCCAAACTTTCTGATCTCTGTATCTCTTCCTCTAGCAAACATGGCCCTTCCCTTGTTAGCTGGATTTTGTAGAAGTCCAAGAAGTAGCAAAATTTGATATTCATAAAACTCAACTCACCTTTTCATTCTCCCTCAACCAAATCTTCTCACCATTTTATTTTTCTGTGAAAGGCATGGAACTCCATACTATTCTTTTTTTTATAACTCTTTGTTCCCTTTCTAATCATTTCCATTGGGCTATACACTCTTTGTTGATGGTCCTATGTTGGATGACATTTTGAAATACAAGCACACTTTTAATTCTTAGTAATTACTTTTTTAACCTGAAGCCTTTTCACTATTAACACTGGATGATGAAGTTGAAGCTCATAGCTTCATAAGAAAGCCAAACACAGAAAACATAAAAAGACAAATACTTGCCATATGACTTCCAAAATACATTCTTGAATTCCATAACGAAGACAATGTTTAAAAAAATGAACAAGAGTGAAGCCTTTTTGAAAAAATAGAAAATGTTTCTTGTTTCAAAAAATTGAGCCCAAAGAACTCATAGCATAAAGTTAATACTATAAACAATAGAACACAAGAAAAATACCTGATAATGTAAGAACCAATTTGCCCATATGAGGAAATAAACTCTATTGACTACTGGAGGAGGAAGAATGAGAAGAGAAGAAAATTAGAAATAAGCAGTAAAACAACAGAGTTGCAATTATTGACTTGGGTTTCTAGGAAAGGACTTTTTTTCCCCTCCCTCATAATAGAGGGGACCTGTATACCCTTTATCAGGGGTAAGTTCTGGGTAGAAAACTTGCAGAAAAACTTACATGTGGCCAGAGTACTAATGGCTGAGGGGGGCATTTAGATGGATGAAAGGAATGAGGGAGTCCCTACATCCCAGTATGGTGTGGCAAGTCCAACCAAGAATTCCCATGCTCCTCCAAGAGCTCTGAAGAAAAACTGAAGGATCCAGCACAGAAAAACCTGTATCTCAATTGGGATCAGGAAGACAAACTGTGAGTCTTTCACATTTGCAAGAAAAGGTAGGACTATGTCACCTAAACAGATGCCATGTGGGTAGAAACCATCACAGACTGGGTTCCATGAAAGCAGGACCTACGACAAAGGCAGGTCTGCAGGAAGTTTATTTGGCAACGTGATGCCAGGGAGTAGGGATGAGAAGCTGAGAAAGTAGAAAGGGAAGGAGGAGAGTCATAACAAGTCAGCTTCACCAAATTGGCTACTACTCCAAAAGACTGGTAGCTCGATTAGGAATCAGTGTCTGAGGTGCCTTATGAAATATGTATCAAAAGTGTTTGCCCAGAGGATGAGAAAGGAAGCTATTCATTCACTAGCTCTTATTTCCCAAGGAATGGTGAAGAGTAACCCCATAGAGCACTAACTCCCATACTCTTTTGAATTACACATGTGAATCTGAGTGTATTCCCATAGACCAGCCATGCCTCAATAACACAGAGACCCCAGGACAGGAAGTGAGTCACCCCTAGCGTGGTCCTGAGCCCCAGAAACTGAGGCCATTCTGAGCTCTTGAGTCTGGAGCATCCAGTCTACACAGTGATTGGCTTTACTGCAACTGCCTCCACATTGGCAGTGCCAGGCTGGGGAGGGAACAGGGAGAGTAGATGCTCTCACAGACCCCATGACTGAGAGCCAAGCACCCACCCCCAGGGCATTCAAATGGAGTGGGCGCTGATGTCACTCAAGAGCTCCTATGGTAACAGCCTCAGTGGGACCTCTGTGGAGAAAGAACCTTAGCCATCCAGCAGCCCAGTACCTGCAGCCCCATATGTCACCTGCTGAAACATGCCCCCATGGCCCTGTGTGCTACCCAGTGAGCCACAACCCTGTGGCATCATATGATGCCATGCCTAGAGTCCAGCACTCTTCTATAGACCCATTAGGCACAAGCCACTCCCTACTGCTTGCCACCATTACACCAGGATCTGGGTGGAGCAAACACCCACAACCTTGATACCCACAGCCACTGCCTAAATAGCCTCACATAGCAGCCACTGCCACTGCTGTGAGAAGACCAGGCAGAGAAATATCCCAAGACACCTGCCTCCATGGAGAGGGACTCACCCAGCCCCCCACCTGAGCTTCTAATAGTGGGCTGGGACCAGCCCACCACTCCACACGAAGATCCCTCAGCACCAGCTTCGACTGTGACAACCACAGGGGAGCAGGACAATGCAGAACAGCTACATTACAGAATTGCAGTGCATCCTGCTAGATCCATCCCTTCCCTGCCAGATCAATCTTCCGGAATAGGACACAATATCACAATCTATGGTCCTCTCCTTCTTCTCACTAATTAGGAGAATTTCCAGCAGAGAACAGGTACACTACAAACCCATCCACCCTGAGCTGAGAGAAGAGGTTTCAGGTAAGAAACCAGCAAAAGCACTCTGGAAACATAAAAAAGAGAGAGAGAGATAGTTTGACACCCCAAAAGTATCACAATAGATCTACAGCAACTGACCCCAACCAGAAGGAAATTGTCTAAATGTCACAAATGGAATTCAGAATATGGATGGCAAATAAGATGAATAGGCTTAAAAGGGAGAGTTGAAGCAACACAAAGAAGCCAAAAACATCTCAAGACATGAATGAAAAAAAATGAAAAATCTCTAAAGAAATAGACTACATAAGAAAAGATATAACAGAACTAGAAGAAATAAAAGAGTCATTTAAGGAATTTCAAACTATAGCAGAAAGCTTCAAAACAGTATAAACCAACCAGAAGAAAGAGTTTCAGAGCTTGAAGACAAGGATTTTGGAATAACACAGTAATGCAGAAAAAAGAATAAAGAAGAATGAATAATCATCCAGAGAAATTTGGGACTATGTAAAGAGAACCAATATAAGAATTTTAGGTATCCCAGGGGGAGAAAAAAAAGTAAAAAGTGTGGAAAACCTATTTGAGGGAATTATTGAAGAAAATGCCTCTGGTATTACCAGAGATGCAGATATACAGATACAAGCTGGTCAATAAACACTGGAAAGATTCATAGCAAATAGGACATCTCCAAGACACATAGTCATCAGCCTGGCCAAAGTCAAAATTAAGAAGAAAATTCTATAAGCTGCAAGATGAAAGTAACAACTAACCTATAAAGGAAAACCCATTAGGCTAACAGCAGATTTCTCTGCAGAGACCATAGAAGCCAGAAGGGATTGGGGCTCCATTTTTAATTTTCTCAAACAGAACAACTCTAGCCAAGAATTTGTATCCATGCAAAACTAAATTTCATAAATGATGGAGAAATAAAGACTTTTCCAAGCAAACACTAAGGGAATTCGTCATTACTAGGTCTGCCCT